TGCTGCTGCTGCTGCTGGGGGTGTGGATGGGGGTTACCCTCTGGGTGCTGCACAGGACGCCCTGAAAGGCAAATCCATCAGCAGCAGCAGCAGCAGCAACAGCAGCAGCAGCAGCAGCAGCATAACAACAACAACCACCGCCACCACAACAACTGCTGCTGCAGATACACCGCAAGTTTATTCTGCTTTTCCATTAAAAACAAATGAAGCAGCAACAGACACAGAAGAGGAACACACACACTCGCGGCTGCTGCTCTCCTGCTGCAGCAGCAGCAGCAGCAGCAGCAGCAGCAGCAGTAATAGCTGCAGCAGCAACTGCTGCACCAGCTGCAACAGCCACACAGACATACCAACAGCAGCAGCAGCAGCAGCAGCAGCAGCAGCAGCAGCAGCAGCAAGAGATAGCGATGCTTCTTGCGCAGCAGAAATGCATCCTGCTTCCTCTTCTCAACACCAACCACGTCAGCTGCAGCTGCAGCTGCAGCAGCACGAAGAAAACAACAACAGCAGCAACAGCAGCAGCAGCAGCAGCAGCAGCAGCTATCCTGCTGCTGCTGCTGCAGCAGCAGCATCTGCATCCCCCCCACCGCCAGCTGTATCTCCTTCTTCTTCTCCCTTAGCTCTATCTGCTGCTGCTCCCTCCTCCTCTCCCTCTCCCTTCCCCCCCGCCGCACCACCAGCAGCAACAACAGCAGCAGCAGCAGCAGCAGCAGCAGCAGCACCATCCTGTGTGAGCGCAGCAGACCGTTTGCTAGTAGACTTTCAGCTGCTGCTGATTCTTCTTTTTGAGGAGATATGTTTAATGGTGCCGGCACTCAAAAAACAAGACAACGGCGCGTTTTATTTTTTGCATCTGCAGCGCATTGCTGCTGGAGCTGTACACCCTACGCTCACCACATACGCAGATATTCTTCTCCCTATCTGCAGCAGCATGAACTTCTTTAATACACCCACTAACAACAGCAGCAGCAGCAGCAGCAGCAGCAGCAGCGGTGCTGGTGGTGCTGGGGGAGGGGGGGGAGGAGGGGAGAGCAGCAGCAAGAAGAAAGAAGAAGACAGAGAACTGCTGCAGCAGCAGAACCAGAACCAGAACCAGCAGCAGCAGCAGCAGCAGCAGCAGCAGCAGCAGCAGGACAGTATATTATCTGTTGCTTTACGTTATTTAGCACGGAACGGGATGGTTGCTGCAGCAGCAATTCATCATCTGGTGGCGAACTGTCCTGCTGCTGTCTTTATTGAGGTTGTGTCTGCATTGGAGTGTATGTACAGCCTGCAGCGTATACTCAGCCCGCAGCAGCAGCAGCAGCATCCTGCTGCTGCTGCTGCTGCTGCTCCTGCTGCTCCTGCTGCTGCTCCTGCTGCTGCTGCTGCTGCTGCTGC